TATATATATAGATATTTAATGTAGTGATGTATCTACATATAATAATAGAAAGTAAGAAATTTATAGTTTCCACTCAAAGTCATAAAAATTAAATATTTATGTTCAGGTATAAAATATTTTTAACGTAAGATAAAATAATAATGTCATAGAAATTTTTTATTTTGCATTTGCATATTTATATTCATATTTTTTTAATAAAGATTATATTATTATAGATGTGTATCGTGCATTTAAAAAGTATTCAACTTATTATTTTTTTTTCATACAATCTCAAGATAAAATAAAAAACGTAATATAGTCTTTTAAAAACATGCTTATGTAAATTCTATACACATACATGTATAGGCCGTCATCTCCGGTATACTCGCGAACGAGTTACTAAATACATCATCCTCCGTTTTTCGTTGTTAAAAGCTCTCTTGCAAGACGGCTCTTGAGTGCCTTAAGGCCTTCATAAAGCAATTCGCACGAAAGCGTAATCCGCCTTTTATGAAAAGCTATTGACTTCTCGTGTCAGTTTCCAGAAGAGGTCAAACATTACTGCGACCTATATTCAAAATCAATTTTCCGCTTGAAAAGGAATTCATATGCAAGATTTCTTTTTTTCTATTTCTACATACACGTATTTAGATAAATATGCCATATATGACTTTATATTCTTAACAATTCTTTAATAATCTGTATAATGAAGTAAACACAAATGGACGAATCGAGTTGTCTGTCGTTAAAAACTTTACAAAAATTTTATCAAATATCTTCTTAATTAAGTTAATTCGATATTATGTATAAAAATAAAACTTCATTCAAAAAGCGTTCATAGATCCAGATTACTAGTGTACTAGTTCCCACCGTATCATCAAATATGACTCTATTTAACCTTCTGGTCATTGTAAATTAAACTTCAAATCGATCGTAATTGAACTTTGGCTTTTATCGTTAACAAGTTACATTGAAGGGTAGGCATCATTGATACAAGCGCTCAAGTTCCATGCAGAATTCTGCTTTCCAAAACGGTAATTACAACATCAAATCAGTATATGCTTAAGTTATTAAGTAAATCTGCTAGGATAGCATGTTGCTCACACTGAAGCATAACTTAACCGAACATAACATTATTGAACTTAATTAAAATGTTGCATTCAAATTGCTAATTTATAATCTATAAGTTCATTAATCGAGAAATTTGTACGTTGTGCAATCAAGTATGTGCGACTTATACATACTGTGAAATAAAATATCGGAAACAAAAAATATGTTATATCAATATTTTTCCTTTACATCTTTCACTTTTTATAATTAATTTATTTCCAGAAATAAATATTTATCAGTAGGGTTTTTATATAGTTATAAAATAGCGCACACATTTTATATATCAGATTGATAACTTTACCGGATAGATGTGTAATAATGCTTCTTATAATCCATTTTGTAATCATATAACTATTTTTTCTACGATATTTTTTACTCGAAATAGGTCGCAAACATTAATATATTATAATAAGTTTTTATAAACATTCGATTAATAAATAAACTTTTCTCTTCAAGGAGTTTCAGATCTACCATAATTGGACACTTGTTTATGGATGCAGAAGCTGCATTCGATGCCGAACTACATCATCAAGATATACGTTTACTCGACATTAACATTCTATCTCTATACCTCGTTCATTTTCGCGGTATTGGAGGCACGTAGACGTAATAGCTATGCCCAACTACCAGGAAAAGAGAGGGATGGGAAATTGAAACCACTAAATAGGATTGTTAGTGAAAGTCAGGAATAAATAACGTACCTAGCTAGAACAGAAGCATTCAGAAAGACTCGTTTAACCCGTTAAAATACTCCCTTTTACGTCGACAATCCTCATCAGACTATTTAGTCGCTCTTACTCCATATACAATTTCTCTGTAGTTACTCTTATCAACACGTACAAATCACATATGCTACGGCTAACCGAAACGCAGTATATAAATACTGCAGTTACTCGTCTACCTCGATGGCTCTGTTAAACTTAAGCCGCGCCGTCGTACAGATATTACGTGTTCTCTTCCTCTATATTACCATTGCGAGTCACTTATTGCTTGCAGTTAAATTTTGCAATAGTAAAACTGATGACTAACGTTACGTATATTATTTATGATAATATAAATGCCGAATATTTTAAAACTTTACAAAATGGTTTTAATTAAATACACCCTAAATAAAGAAAGATATTTTTATATTCTTAAAATCTACTTAAAAAGAGCTAACAATGTCATAATATATTATATACATATATATTCACATGCTATTGTAAATTTTGATATAGATTTGTAAAAATTAATCAATTCTTTATTTCTTTTACGTTACAATTTTATATGGTAAATCTCTCGAATTGTGTATTCC